ATGAGGACTAGACCTTACCTGGAATAAATACATCAAAATTAAAATCAAAGAGATGTAAAAAGACAAAAATATGGGGAAAACCTTTCCAAAATTAAAAATATCTGAAAAAAGGAACCCAAAAGAATCTATATGACTGCGATGGAGTTCAAGAAACTAATTAAATCTGAGCTCAAAATACATGTTTCTACAAGTATGGCAACCAGGGCTTTGAGGGATATTCATAAGAAAATTGAAATAGATTGGAAGGACCAATTCAAAAAAATTACTCCCTCCGTTCCTAAATAAACTTCCAACTTTCCTTTTTCATTCGTTCCAATTAAAACTTTCACTATCCCTTTTTAGTAAAAAAATCATGGTACACAACATTTCTTACACATTTCCTCTCTCCTCTGCACAACTCTCCACCACACAATGCCCACTATCTTAAACTGTGTGTCAAACCTATTTGGAAGTTTTAATAGGAACGGAGGGAGTAGGAACTATGCTTAGGAATGCCTACAGTCTATTCCAGATAGCATAGTGGTGATTTTTTTTACCCAGTAGGCAAACCACCAAAAATCGGTGGGGCAAATGCCGGGGAACATTTGCCGAGTTTTATTAAAAAATAAGCAAGATAGTACAAAGAGAGAGGGGGGCTAGGCCAAAACCTCTCCAAAGAAGACATACCTTCTCAAAATACAACCGAAGAAAGAAATAAAAAACAGAAGCCAGAATAAAAGAAAAATCCACGGGGACTAGACCTTACCTTTTATAAATACATCAAAATTAAAATCAAAGAGATGTAAAAAGACAAAAATATGGGGAAAACCTTTCCAAAATTAAAAATATCTAAAAAAAGGAACCCAAAAGAATCTGCTATGATGGATCTTTTAATCAAAGGAGGTAGAGAACTAATATTATAAAAAAAAACTCATTCTTTGGGCCCAAATGCAAGTAGGCTAGACAATGCGCTACATGGTTGCCTTCCTTATACGTATGTCCGAAAGAAGTATGCGCAGAATAGGCAACCTTACGCAGCTCAGGTGCTAAGACTTTTCATCTTCCATTATACTGATCCTCCTGAAGCAACAAGATCAATCTACTTGAATCCGATTCCACCTATAAGTCGACAAAACCAAGTGCTGACACAATGGTGATTCATACTACAAGAGTAGTTCCTCAAGCTCCTGCTGTATTTCAACGCATATATGTGTGTTTTAGACCTGTTAAAAGAGGGTTTCTTGAAGGCTATAAAAAGGTTATAGGACTAGATGGATGCTTTCTTAAAGGACTACTCAAGGGGGAGATATTAACAACAATTGGTAGAGATGCCAATAATCAGATGTACCCCATCGCATGGGCAGTAGTTGAGATCGAAAACACCTCTTCTTGGACCTGGTTTTTAGAGTTGCCGAAGACAGATCTGCAAATAACTAGGCAAGATTTATGGACTCTAATTAGTGACCAACAAAAGGTAATTGACTAAAATTCTGAACTTGCGATAATATTTCTGTTTTTATCTAAATTTGTGTTACTGTCATTTAATATTGGATAACAAAAATAACATGTTATATTAGTTATGAATCTGACATTTTTATATTTATTTGATCCACATTTGTGTTAAGGTCAATAAATATTGAACAACAAAAATAGCTACTCTTTATTTGATCTACATTTGTGTTACTATAATTTAATATTGAATAAAAAATCATGTTTTAAATCTGACATTTTTATATTTATTTGATCTAAATTTTTGATAATGTGGACTAATTTGACTGTCATTTAGCATGTTATAACACTGAGAGCATTTCCTAACCTCACATTGATACAAAGAATGTCATGTTATATTGAATAACCCGACATTTTATAACCTTACCAAGTTGTCATTTAATACTGAATAACAAGAATATCATGTTATATTTGTTTGTAACCTCACATTATCATCTTATAATAAAAAAACAAAACTTAAGCTGAATATTCTTACTGCAGGGTCTCTGTAATGTCATTGTTCGTATCTTCCCAAGGGCTGAGCATAGGAATTGTGCTAGACATATTCATGCAAATCGAAGCAAATCCCATAGAGGCATGCTGCTTAAGAAGCTATTCAGGTTGTGTGCAAAGTCCACATGTGAAGAACAATTGCAGGTTCCATTATCAAAGTTAGATAAGGCCGACATTGAGGCTTGTAGGGACCCGCGTAAATATCCATTCACGATATGGTTCAAGGCTTATTTTAGGCCCAAGGTTAAATGTGACATTGTGGAGAACAACTTATCAGAGGCCTTCAATAGCACCCTTCTGAAATGCAGATGAAAACCGCTTATTCCCATGTTAGAGCACACAAGAGTTGCAATGATGAAAGTGATTGCAAAAAAAGGAAGTACGTAAACAAGTGGTTAGGTATAACATCTACTTCAGTGAGTTACCTAAACTATATTTCTAATGACTTGAAAATAATTACAATACAAATTTGTGGGACAATTTGGACCTGTGATCATGCAAAAATTAAAAAAACATCTTAGCTAGCCAAGGGTGGAATGTTGATTTCAATGGGGACGATGGGTATGAGATTAAAAAAGGAAGGCACCGGTTTAAGGTCAGTCTTAATGCAAAAACATGTTCATGTAGAAGGTGGGATTTGTCTGGAATACCTTATGCGCATGCCATTTGTGCCATATTTAACAAGGGCCAAGATCCGAAACAATATGTGGAGAACTGTTATTCTAAGGAGTTATACCAGAGAACTTATGCATACACTCTTCCACCATTCAATGGAGAGCTGTTATAGCCACATACTGAGCATGAAGAAATTTTGCCTCAAGTGCCTAAGAAGATGAGTGGAAGGTCAAAGAAGAAGAGGGTCCGGGAAGCTAATGAAGTGCCATCATCTGGTTCTCAACTTTCCAGAAGGGTAGGATTATGAAATGCTCCATACGTAAAGGGGAAGGGCACAACAAGTCTTCTTGTCCCAACAAGAACACAATTAGGTCAAGTGAGGGTGGATCTACTACAAGAGTGTCCACTGGTGTAGATGGTCAAACTGATGTTCCTACTGCAATAGGACATGACCAAGGTCAAGGTAGTGGAAGAAGGGGAGGGTCAAGGGGGCGAGGGAAAGCACAAAGGGGAAGTGCACAAAGAGTTTTTGGTGTGTACTTTGATCACAACACTGGTGAAACCCTCATTGATGTAAGTTAAACATCTCCATACTGCAGTTCACTTTTAACATGGGGTCTTTTGTAGTTCAGTATGATAATGGTAATACAATGATTATAGAAATTCATAATTTTGTTACCCTATTATAGCCTAGACAACCAAATGAAAGACTGCTTAGTGAAAGATGTTGATGAAGGCGGAAGAATGAAGTGAGATCTTGAACATCTATCATGGAAGACAAATGTAGTCTGTGTGATGATATAGTTAGGTGTGAACTTGTGGTTGTTTTGATGGGTAACTTTTGTATGGTTGTTGCTTGCCTTTAAAGCCTTTTGGCCGTACGAATGACTGTAGTGTTTTAGTCTTTTTTTGTTGATGTTGGTTGTAAAGTAAGGAATCTGTGGGGCAAAAGTTAGGCTTTATGTGGGCCGAAAGTTATGCATTAAACTTGTGAAAGTTGACTATTTTTTGGGATGTACTGTATGATCAGTTGACCTTTTACATACACCAGTTTTTTGGCCATTAATTCCATGTGTATTCAATGATGTTAATGAGTTGGTAAAATTTAAGTCATCTTGCATAACTTTATAGTGTTCTTTCATAATTCGTTTTTGCATCCAAGTCTTATATTCATGAAAACAGAATATAAACTATTGCAGTGGTTTCTAAATGGATCAAATCATCTAACAATAACATGTTGTTCATCACAACAAAATCAAGTTGTGTTAATTGTTGACAATTACAATGGTAAAACTGAATTCAACTTGCATCACTTTAAACTCAATTGAATAAAGATGTCCCAAGATGAAATCATCTAACAATTACTGATGCCGATGAAAGCAGAATACAAACAACATCAATTGTTCACGTACTTCTAAATTCCTAATACATGTAGTTACTCTTGTTCACATTCATATACATATTACCAAGAAAAGCAACTACTACAATGAAAACTAAACCACACATATGCCTAAATCTTTTGTTATCTTGTGCTTTTTTCCACCAATCTTTCGAACACAACAAAGTTGTCCCTCTACAGCACATATGCGTTCAACGAGTCCACAAATCAAGGCCTTGACATCATCTCTATTCATCTTCATCAATGTACCAATAACTGGGTCTTCTGTTTCTGCCGAATCCTTCCACATTAAAAAACCACAACCAACACCCTGAAATTGAATGTCACCAAATAATGTAAAAGTGAACATGAAGACAGTTTCATGAATTTGTACGGCTAAGCAACACTTATAATTACTACATGTTTTACACCCAAAAATGACATATACTTATAATTACTACACTCGTATCCATACTCACACCCGAATGAACACAATACATAATTAATTACTAGCCAATTTTGACACCCATAAAAACTTCTCCCGGTTTCGCGTCCAACACACAAAGGGGATTTCAATCCACAATGGCAGTACACAACTGGCTCGTAGTCTAGGGTACATCTTCGTCCTTTGCTGGGAGTAGATTCAAATGAAGTCGACATTGTTGATGGTGCACAGACGACAGACGATGGGCGACAGATCTGAGGAGATTAGAGGGTTAGTGGTCAGAAATAAATAATAAGGGTTCATAGACAATGGATGACGAGGACTACATATTAATAATGAACGTATTACTCAACCAACTTAATGACGGTGACCTCCCAAAATAATTGGTTGTTTTTTGAGACTTCGTGGGCTTTAATGAGCGATTTTAGAGTAGGAGAGCTTAATTGATTTCTGTATATGAACTTATTTGACAATTTTTCCTTAATCTTACGTAGGGAACCTCTTTAAAAGAATTATTTTGCATAGAATATTTTTACTTGAACTGAAATTTAGTGATATGATAATATTTTTTTGATGTGGTCTAGTAAGCCTTTTGTCCCGGACAGAAAAGTAAAAACACTGATCAGTAAGGGACATCTTCATCGCTCGAGATAATCCTCTTACTAATTGTCCGCCACCGTCTCCTCCATCTACGGCCGACGGTTATCTCGAGGAGTAGTTTCCTACCACTCGCGGAAGAGATGACTACCCACCAGACCTACGACGCCTACTACCTCCCTCAACCACTGCCCGTTCCGTACAACACTAGCAGCAGAGCTGAACGCGATCTGATTCGGACGGTGTTCGTATCGGGCCTCCCAGACGACGTCAAAGCTCGTGAAATTCATAACCTCTTTAGGCGCCGTCCCGGCTTCGAATCTTGTCAGCTCAAGTACACCGGCCGCGGAGATCAGGTTGGCTTTCTCTTTCCCTTTAGTCCTTTACCTAATAAAATATCTTATCTGCAGTCTGATGGTATAACTAAGCATATTGTGTGCTAGAGTGTATTCACTGTTAGCTCTCAGTTGGTTATTTTCTTCTATATTACATTATTACCATCGCACGAGCTTGTTATTCTGTGAAATGCGAACTTATTTGTAAACTGCAGTAGCTATGTTTTCTAAAATGGGCATGTTTGTGGTAATGGCGTTGCAGGGTATACTTCTTACATTGCGTTAACAAAATGGACATTTTTGTTGTCATTTTTCTGAAAACGTCTATTAGTGTAGTCTAGTGGTAAATGTTGAAACACAAGATGCTTTAACTGTACTTTAAAAGCACCTTGTACAATTCTCCATCCATCCCACTATCTTTGTTTCATTTTTACTTTTTTATCCCTTACTTAGTTTGTGACATACTCCGTACTATATTTGATAATATTTGTATGGTTCAAACTTATTCATGCTTTACAAATTATTTATCAACCACACTGCCACACATGCAACTCATGTCCCGAAGATAGTGGATAGATGTGGTAGTTAACCAGTACAGTTGGATACTCATGCCAGAAATGAAAATTTCGTAAAGGAATGCTGTGACAATTATGTACTGAAAGACCTCCGATTCTTCTAACATACAAACTTTGCTAGAATAGTTGCTCAGGGAGAACTCTATTAATTATGGGCGTGGTGAAGTTGACAGAACATACTATAATGTAGAAGCAGCCGCTGGGTATATTCAAAATTTAGTGTCGTCATCATCATCATCATCATTACCCCAGTGCCGCAAAGGCTCCCACCTACGGTGGGGTAAGAGGGGCCAGATGTACGCAGTCTTACCCATAGGAATGGTTGGTTTTCAACTCTATGGGAGCAATGTGGTGAATTATGCACCCACACTATTTAGTTTGTGAAAAGCGTTTAGATCCTTTCTTGCCATTAGAGGCTATAGAACTGGCATATTCCGGTTCTTCCAATAAATAAAAAACATAAGAATTGTTATTCCTTAAATTGATATCTTTTTACATGTAGACAGCTCTCTCATCTCTCTGTGTGTTTCTGTAACTCTGTTTTTTGGGGGGGATGGGGAGGGTATCGGTTGCATGAACCAGTAATAATTATGTGTGCAATTTACAGGTTGTTGCATTTGCAAACTTTGTTGATCATCAATCAGCAATGGGGGTATTGCACTCATTAAACGTGAGTTTGCCAAGCTTGGTCTACCACTTTCTTTTATTTCTTTAGTAATCTTTGGGTAGAGAACTCTTGTACATTTTTTCCATGTGTGAAAAGGTGGCTTGTCTAGCGAAATGGCAAGGAAGGACTTTTCACTTTAATTAAACTGATTTACTAGTTTGATTTCTGTACACCAGTACACCACCCATGGTATGAACTCTACCTGTCTAAGGTATTGAAGCTTTTTCACTCAGAGGGTGTGGGAATACAGTGATTGTGATTTGTGTTGTAAGGAACAAAGGATTGATTAATCCGAGAGTGCTTGACATTGATCCTGCTATGTTTAAAAGAGATCAGATATAAGTGTTTTATAGAAATGTTATTGTGATGTCATTCTGACAAAATTGCCGAAATGAACACGAGGTTCAGGCATTCACCTGAGGAAGACTTTATAAAAACTTGAAGAAGGTTATTAAAAACTCATATTAGTGAGTGAGAAAAAAATTAGGATAGAGAGGAGTTAAAGAAGACAATGGAAGAGGATAGGCTATACCAAATTGATTTTATCAAGGGTATTTGGTCCAAAAAATACACTAAACAGAATCCAATTTTAAAAAGCATAGGGGGGTATGAAACTATGAAACCTTAATAGAGTTCATACTCTTGGCACCTCTCCGGTTTGATTTGTGTCTTGTACGGGTGCAATTGTAATATTTAATGTTTGTTGAGATTGCAAGTACTGGCGTATTTATTCCTACATGTATGTGTCCATGTCTTGTGGTCTATATTTACAGGGTGTGAAGTTCGATCCTCAAACAGGATCCACTTTGCATATTGAACTTGCCAGATCAAATTCCAGGAGGACAAAAAGACCAGGTAAGTAAATCATATTATTGCTCATTGGTGTCACTGAGAAATGAGAAGAAGGTGCAAAAATTGAAATGTCTCTGCTGAGTGTATGTGTTATGAAACTGCATGTTGCTGCCTTTCACAGGGAGCGGCCCCTATGTTGTTATTGACAACAGATCTAAATCTAACAAATTTCGGAAAGGCACTTCAAGTGATGAAGGTAAGATATTTAGCTGCTTTTAAAAATTAAAATTATTTTTCCAGTTTGCCTCTTTTCTACTTCTGGTCTGTGTGAATTGTGAATGCAAAAAAAGATATTATAATTAAGGCTGGCAAAGTGATTTATTCTGAATAATGCTTAATGGTGCTATAATTAAGTTACAATTATTATTTCCTTTTCCTTTTCCCTTAGTTTTGATGTAAAACTGATAAAACACCCGAACACTATATGCAGACCCAAATGATAGTGATTCTGATGACCCATCAAGGCCTAATGATCCTGATTCTTGCAACAAGGATGATTCACCTGAGAAGAGGTTAGATGCACTTAATGAACACAACAACCGCTCTCTTGTAATACCAAATGTTTACTTCCTTTCTGTCTCAAACAGTTAAACCTTGGCACCAATCTAAATCGCTAACCTCTCGTGATGACTTTTTTTAAGAGTTTGGGGAAGGGAAACACAACACCCCCCCTTTGGGCATCTATGACAAACATTTTTCTGAGTCTTTTTGAGTGAACTTGACACAACTTTGTCAAAGTAAAAAATCAAATTCTTCAAAAAAATAAACAAGTTCAAAAGAAACAAGAAATATACACCCGAGTCAAATTCTTCACTGATTGAAAAAAATGCAGACTATCACTCATAGGACAAGTACAATAAAAAACTAGAAAGAATTTAGGATACTAACAGATACTTTCTCTGCCGGAGAAAATTCCTGTTTCAAGAGCTTTATTTGTCCCAATAAACCGGTTCAGTTTTAATAGTCACCTTTACTTTTTAAGTAAAATTCATGTAAAGCCAAACAGCAAGTGTTTTTTTTGTCAGTTACTCCCAACAATCTTGAAAATAAGTTTTATTAAGATGAGCTCAAAGTCTCAAACTGTATTATTTAGCAGACAACTTGAGGACATATAAAAAAATGTAGGGATATAGGTGTCTGTTCATTAATTCGAAAAGCTTTAACCTTGACTGAGTTGACCAAAAAATGGTAACTTACTCAAACATGACTCTTTTTCCTGGACAGAAGAGTAATATATTCCTATGAGTCTTGCAATCCTTCTTATTGAAATTTGAACACTAACAGTATTGTCTGGGTTTTTTATCAGTGGCGAGAAAGTGGGCGACGGTGACAATGTTTTAGCTGCACAAAATGTATGTTCTGTGATTAGCTTCCCTTATAAAAAACATAATCACTTTTAAAAACTGTGTGTGTAATGTTGTAGGAACAGGCAGAAAAGACAGGAGATGGTACACAACCATGTTCCACTTTATTTATTGCCAATCTTGGTCCTGACTGCACAGAAGATGAACTGAAGCAAATTCTGTCTCAGTATGTTCTTTTAAAAATCCACAAGAATATGATAATTTTGTCTGTCATTATAAGTTTAGGGCATAGCCTCTTATAATTATTCTCTTTGACATCTCATTTTTGTTTTTTGGTCACTCAAAAAACATATCTGTTTCCACCTACAGTAAGAAAAAATGCCGGTTGCTTTTGGAATAAAAAATTTTGTTAATTTTTATTTTTGGCAAAATACACAGTAACCTTACAGTAAGAAAAAACATATCTTTGTTATTTTTGAGATTAGGTACCCTGGTTTCAACACCCTGAAGGTTCGTGCTAGAGGTGGAATGCCGGTTGCTTTTGCTGATTTTGAGGTACTGCATGCTGCTAAGTGCCTGTTTGGTAAGGCTTAAAATGGCTGAATCTGCAGAAGTAGGTGAAATTGCAGCTGAATTAGTTGAATTTTGCCAAATCATCTAAAAGAAAGTGTTTAAAAATATAAATTAAACAGATAAGATAAAACATTATCTAAAAGTAAGGGTGTAGGTGTCATTTTCTTCCACTTTATCCGAAAAAGTAACTTCTGCACTAGTATTTTTCATTATTGGCCGATTCAGCCATCATAATGGAATAAGTTGGTGTTTGGTGAAAAAATAATTGATAAGCTGAGAGCAAATGAGATATCAGAAGTGTTGCTAAAATAATTTCTGTATAACTATGCATTTTATTTATTTTGATAGAGTGTTGACAAAGCAACAGATGTCATGAACACACTTCAAGGAAGCACGTTGCCGTCATCAGACCGGGGTGGCATGCATATAGAGTATATTTTTCTCAACTCATGTGAATACTGTTAGCAAAGACAATTGATTTTTAATAATACTGTTTACTTCCCCTGTCACTGAGGGTTTGCTTGGATGAACGGGTTTGGAGGGGATAATCTATATCTTAATATTTATTTTTAGAGTTCATAAAAATTGAAATATTATTTTGATCATATAACATTTCAATACATTTTGTTTGCTTTCAGAAACATTTTATTTGCCAAGATATAGATCAAGTCATCCAAAGCGTCCCTCCAACTGCATGCCTTGAGAACTCTTACTACTTTTCTTTTGTTCAGATATGCTAGATCTAAAATGAGGAAGCCTTGAAAGTCACTTTGAGGAAAAGCTAATATTTTGAAGGCCAGTAGCTTCAACTTTAAGGCTACATCATGACTTTGTGGGTCAGTGAATCTCCAAGCCTAGTCAGTTCACTCTATACAATGATGGTTTCAATATCAGTACATTTAGTTTACGTCTTAGGTAGTCTCATCAGAGGCTTATTTCACCATTTGTACAACATACAACCTTTTAATCTTGATAATAATGCACAATTTAACTGGTTTGTCATGAGTTAAGAGAGACTTCTTATAGAAAATACTGAGACTCTCAAAATAAGGTCATACAACTCGTAATTACTCTCTCGAATGTCAAAGGTGTGTTCTTTGGAGTCAAAGATTAATCTGGCGAAGTCAATTATCCAGTAGTGTTGACAAAAAGTAGTGATTCTTTTTGGGAATGACCTTCAAACCTTCTATATCCGATAAACTTCTCTCTCAGAACTAAAAGTTACTCCAAAGAACGTTGAATGTTAAAAGTTTATAGTATAACGGACCAAAGTGCACAACACTGCCTCCACCCAGTTGCATATGCATAGATTTAAGTCAGGGGTTGAACTTGCGTTATGAAATCAGTAGCAGTACTAATTATAATGCACATCTCATAAATAGTTGACCATATTATAAAGAGATATTACCCGAAATAGGACTAAAACAGTTTGAAAATTCCAAAATAGGTTTGCCATGTTTTTATTCCCAAAATCGAACTAATTACTGCCATGTTTTGGCATTACCAGACTTCAAACATGACAGTATTTTCTAAATATGGCAGTGATTAGTCCTATTTTGGGAATAAAAAACATAACAGTCCTATTTTGGAATTTTGAAACTGTTTTAGTCCTATTTCGGGAACTTTCCCTATTATAAATACTAAATTTGAAAATTAAGGAAAAAATAATCTAAATATCTCAAATTTTGAAGGGTGTGACTGTGCGAGGAAATATTTCATACTTACATATGTAATACTATGTATATACTAAGAACTGTACATAAAATCTGTCGGAAAAAGAACTTTATATAAAAAGTGATATTAGCATCATGATTATATTTTTTCATTTACAAATGTAAACTTATGGTGCTAAATACATAATTTAAAATATTTTAAGCATCCATAAGGATGCAATCAACATTCTAAGCTTTCATTTATGATAAAGAATAGACTCTGAGCTATGTAGTGCAACTCTGTTAATTTTGATATTTACCAACATATGACTTCCACCATTAGTATATTTAATTGACTATTAGTAAAATTAAAAAAAGGACATATTTTAAATTTTAGTCTAAGACCAATACCATAATTTTTATGTAGATCAATTATTTAGTATATTACTCCCTCCGTCCTGCTAAAATTGTCCCGTTTTACCTTTTCGGAAAATCCCACTATGGTTGTCCCATATCATATTTGGTAAAGTTTGTGTGGCTCTACATCATTTTTACTTCATTTTTACTTTATCAATTTAATATCAACAACATAAATCCACTTTTCTTAATAATCGTGCCACATTCTCTTGTTCCAATCTTAGTGGGACGATAGTAATAAATAAAGAATCAAAGTAGAGTGTGAATATTGTTGAAGTCAAATGTTTCAACTCCTTAGTAAACTAGGAAGAAGGTAAGATTCGTGATGTTGAGACTTGAGACCACTTACAATCTTTGATTAACAAATCTGCCAATTGAATTGGCGACTTAGGTGCACGCTGTGGATGACAAGCCTGTCCAAAAAAGGAGCGGAGGCACTCGTTGGACCCAACAAAATAAAAAAAACCCCACTTTTTAAAAAGAGTGCTATAAGTTTTTTATTTGTATTCTAATTGCTATAAACAAATATCAAAATTCATAGCTTTTTATTATATTTCTTATAACATCAATATTGCATTTATAAAATTAAAAAATAATTTAGCACTTTAAAAATGTTTGTTTTTAAAGTGTTATACGAAGTAATTTTTGATTCGTTCATTGAATTTTCTATTATAATATATCAAAATTATAAATTTTTATTATCTTTCATATGACACTAATATTTCATTGGTACTCCAGTGCTCTAAAAATTACAGTATCAAAATTCATAACTTCTTATTATCTTTAATGTGTCACTAATATTTCTTATTTGCCATAGTCATGGATGAACTTACAAAGTCAATTCAAGACGATATACTGTGGTGCATGATGTTTGTCGATGATATTGTATTGATTGATGAGACGCAATCAGGTCTTAAAGCAAAGTTGGAAGTATGGCGACAAACATTAGAGAATAAGGGTTTCAATTTCAAACTAAGTCAGAGCAAGACAGAGTACATGGAGTGCAAGTTTGGTGGAGGTAGAAACAGTGGTAATAGCGGAATTACTCTGGATGGTAAGGAGATACCAGTCAGCGATATGTTCCGTTACTTGGGCTCCATAATTCAGGACGGTGAGTTAGATGGAAATGTATCCCATTGAATCAGAACATGGTGGATGAAGTGGAAGAGTGCGTCGGGATTTCTATGTGATCGAGGTATGCCGACTAGACTGAAGGGTAAATTTTATAGGCCATCAATTAGATCTGCATTACTGTATGGCGTAGAGTGTTGGACGGTGAAACAATGTCACATTCAAAAGATGAGTGTGACAGAGATGCGCATGCTACGTTGGATGTGTGGGCATACTAGGAAGGACCGCGTGAGGAATGAGATAATCAGACAAAGGGTGGGAGTAGCACCTATTGAAGACAATATGTGGGAGTCGCGCTTACGGTGGTTTGGTCATGTGCGTAGAAGACCGAGTGATGCACCTGTCAGATGAGTTGAGATGTGTAGAGAAGAGGCATGGAAGAGAGGGAGAGGAAGATCCAAACAAACGTGAGTTAGGGAAGTTCGAAGTGATATGCTTTTTCTCGGGTTGGATGAGGGCATGACTTTGGAGAGAACTAAGTGGAGAACAGGTATTCGTGTGGAGGAGTGATCTCGTATCATCTTTTTCCCTCATCTTTTTTTCTTTATTTTTTATCCTTACATATAAGCATTATTTGTATCCTTTTTATTTTATCATTTTTATGTATATTCATCTTTTTTTATATTATCTTTTTATAATAGCTTATCTTTTTTATCTTTATTTTCTTTTCCTTTTGGTTGTGATATCATGTATCGATTCATATTAGTCGACCTCAATATCTTTTGGGACTAAGGACCTAAGACTTGGATGTTGTTGTTGTAAAGTTATAATTTTTGATATATTTTATGTTGTTGGGTCCCATGAGTGCTCATCTCCTCAACGTGCTTTGTACCTTTACCTAAAAAGTTATGTTGTTAACAAGTTATAAAAACTTGTCCAAGTGCTCATCTCATCTATCATTTTTGTTTTGTCTAATAAGGATGATTTCAATTAGAATAAAAATTTCTGGATTGATCTGATTTGAATTTGATAGATATCTAATAATTGTATACTCTCTCCGTCCCTAAAACTTCGTCATCTTTACTTTTTGGGACGTCCAAAAAACTGTCTTTTTTCCCTTTCAATCAATTATTTTGTGGTTCCTGTTATTTCTCTCCTCTGCACAAACCTCAACCACACAGTTTTTACTTTATTATTCTCCGTGTCGGTCAAACATGACAAAGTTTTAAGAGACAGAGGTAGTATTTTATAATTATTCAATTTTCTTTATAGATACTAGGAAACTATAACTTTTAAATTGAAAAGCTTATTAGCATTATAAATGAATTACTTTTGATATTTTTGTGTCTTAGGATGTTTTTATTTTGATTATTTTCAGTCCCAGACTAATCAAAACTAAACTTGAATAATTATAAAATACTACCTCTGTCTCTTAAAACTTTGTCATGTTTGACCGACACGGAGAATAATAAAGTAAAAACTGTGTGGTTGAGGTTTGTGCAGAGGAGAGAAATAACAGGAACCACAAAATAATTGATTGAAAGGGAAAAAAGACAGTTTTTTGGACGTCCCAAAAAGTAAAGATGACAAAGTTTTAGGGACGGAGAGAGTATACAATTATTAGATATCTATCAAATTCAAATCAGATCAATCCAGAAATTTTTATTCTAATTGAAATCATCCTTATTAGACAAAACAAAAATGACCTGATAATAATACTACCTCCGTCCCGATGGGCTTTGCCAACTGCAAAGTAGGTGAGAAATCTATTAATAATATATAATAGCAAAAGGAATCTTGCATGAGAAGTTCTCGCCCAAAAGTGTCTACCGTATTAGTATGGGGTAGGGGTGGGAACGGTCCAGTCCGGGTCAGGTTTTTGCTAAACCCAGAAATTACCCGTAAGGTATCGGGTTATGAAAATTAGGGACCGAAACAAAGCCCACTATATTCGATCCGAGTCGGGTTTTTTGTAGTCTGGGTTCGGTCCGGGTTTGGGTGGGCCGGTTAAAGCCCGAATGTGAAGTCACTCATTTTCTTTTATATTTTAAAATCTATTTTCAAATAAAATTAATAAAAAGTACAAACCGCAAATAAAATTAATAAAAAGCACAAATATTAGTCTCCAAAATCACCAAGAATTCAAATCCAAAGAAGACAATTATCATAATATTATGTTTAAGATGCATGAAAATAAATAATATAGGTGTTCTAAAAATGCTATGAAATAAAGTTTATGGATAATCCAAAGATTCCGGGTATGAAACAATATCAAATGATGGAGAGGAGGATGAGGGTCCTAGTACCATTGAAGGGTTCACTGATATTTTTGATGATGAAGTGATCACTCATATGGAAGTGGATGAGGAGAGAGCACCTAAATACAAAGTCAAACACATCAAAGAGTTAGATGAGCCTTTGATCCGTTTAGATCCATACTTGAGAATGGTCAAAGAAGAGGAACCTGGGGTTTGGTTCACCAAAGAATGTTTAGAGGGGCTGCCGGGGTAACCAAAAAGAAGAAAGGGTATGGTTTCTCGGCCATATTCATGAGAAGTGTCTTTAGACACTATCTAAACAGATTTTTTGAAGATGGGCACCCAATGGGTAATGAAAGCAAGGTCAAAGACATGAGGAAATATCCCGTCTTAGTTTATTTCGACTCGTGTGTATGCTCTCTTCAAATCACGTCTCCATCTCCGCAATATGTATCGGTCGGGCAAGATGTCCACTCCATTGCGCATTAGGACTGTAATCATATGTTTACAAACGATGTCTCTAAATTCAAATAAATGACAACTACATTGGCCTTCATTCAAGGTCTTGTCATATTCGACTATGTAGTTAGTAGTCTTGGCAAACCCATTAATTCGTTTCACTTCTTTCACATGAAATGTTTTTCCATCTTCACATTCAAGTAGGTCACAATAAAGCTTGTCGATTACTTCTTGAAATTCCTTAAACTTCGCTAGTGTGTATAGTCCTTGTACTTGTTTCTCCATTTCAAATATACTAACACACGGAATCATTTTTGTAAATGATTTTGTGTCTGCATGAAACTCTTTTTTTGCCTTACATCTCAAAGTCCGACCGTATTGCCACGAATTGTTTGAGACTTGTTTTGGAGTGCACAAAACCATCAAAGAATGCGTTCATGCTCTCACTTCTTTGTGTGCTGGAGATACCCACCCAGAATGTAGGTTTAAGGTAACAAGGTACCCACCCTTGACGTTCATTGTACATCACCCCAAGCCAATCATCACTTTGAAGTGAATACCTGCGACAAATAAGCAGTCATCACCATGACGAATAATATTGTCCCAGACCCAAATGTCCGTGACATACAACTATTGTCTGTGCGACAAAAACCATTACTTCATTCCAGACAGCAATTGTCTGTCACAGACAACTTTAGTCTGTTACATACTTTAATCTGGACCCAAATGACTGTGACAGACAACTATTGTCTGTGAGACAAAAACAATTAATTCATTCCAGACAGAAATGGTCTGTCACAGACAATTTTAGTCTGTTACATACTTTAGTTCATACACCAAATGTTTGGCACAGACATCTAATGTCTGTTAGAAAGAAATATTTAGTTGGTTAGCAACTGACAGAAGTATTGAATACCTTTCCAGAATTGCTTTCCAACCAAATTTAAACTAAGCAGGGAACTGTGAGTCATATACTACGTCATGTATTTCGGACATAATTTCATCTTTATCGGTAAATCCTCCAAGATTTTCCGGTAGCTTCTTCATGATGTGTCATAGACACCATCAATGCTGCGTATTTGGGAAAACAATTTGAATGGCGTTTTGCATGGCGCGATCTTGGTCAGTAATAATTCCGTTTGGGGCTCAACCTTTCATACATTCAAGCCAAGCTCTAAAAAGCCACACAAATGTTTGTGTATCTTTACTCGAGATTAGGCCACAATCAAGCAAGATTGATTGATCATGGTGATTAACTCCAACGAATGGGGCAAATGGCATATCGTATCGATTTGTAAGATATGTTGTTAAAAGTTATGACATCACCAAAGTCTTTGTAGGCATATCGACATCGATTGTCCACCCAAAACACATTTCGTAACCTTGACTCCTCATCCAAATCAATCATGAAAAAAACTTGGGGCCTTGAGCTTGCATCCTACAAAAGAAGTCTTGAATGGCCATTGCATCACCATTTCCTAGTCTCAGTTGGCACACCTTATCTATGTAGTTCCTACAATCCTTTTCAATAAATGGAAGTTCTTCATATCAACCGGCTTCCACAACGGCGGAGTTGAAACTCTTCTGAACTGGTATTCCCACAACATCATTAATGTCAAGGTTTCTCATCATGTGCGGTGTCAACTTTCTATTACACCGAAATAGTCTTGCCTTGGTAGGACTCATATCATGATTATGATCTAAACAAGACTTTGAAATCACCCATCCTCCGGCGTAATTTGTACGTGCTCTTATTCTTGCAAGGCAACCGACTTGCATTGAAGGTTGAGGCTTCAAAACATTTTGTGACCGGCTGGCCCTACTTCCAGCACGAGCACACTCTAAGACAATCGCAGTGATGTTGCCTGTTTTGTCTTTATGAAGTTCATTGTCTAACAGGAAAGCCCACTCTTCTACCATAAGCCTTATAGAAATCATAAACTGCCTCTTTACTATGAAACTCCATACCAACATCAGGGTCTTTATTATTACTCTTTTCTTCCTCTTCGTCTGTTATTCCAAACAAAAATACATGTTCATAACAATTGACAACACAGAACATGTTGTCTGTCCAGACAGACAATAGTATGCATAATTTATTTTAACAACATTCTTGTGTACATTCACAAATACAATCACATGTCCAACACTTATACACACTTTTACATAAAAACAACATTTACTATCAAAACATACTACAAAACACTCTTTTACCAATACTTGCATGTCCATACAGACGTTATTTCTACGTAGACAAACAAATTACATTGTCTGTCAGACAGACATTTTACATATGGGTCAAACAACAAACCTACTATGTTTCAATAGTCAGACACTGCACTTATAACTAGGGGTGGACTCGGGCCGGGCCAACCGGCCCAGAACCGAACCGGCCCGCTACTGTGCGGGCCCAGACAGGCCTGGTGAACCGGTTGGTTGGCCGGTTCGGGCCACCCGGCCCGGTGGGATGGCGGTCCGGGCTCGGGCCCTTCAAAAGGTGAACCGGTCCGACCGGTTCGGGTCGGACCATTTTTTTTTTGAATTTTTTTAAGTTTTTGGGTTGGGCTGGGTATTTTGGGCCATTTGAGGTGGTTAGGGTTGGTTTGGGGGTGAGGGGGAGGGTTGGGGGTTAACTAGGAAAAGCCAAAAAAAAAAAAATAGAACCGAGACCCGGCCCGGACCCGGGGGTTACCCGGGCCGGTTCCGAGCCTCCCCTTCATGAACCGAGGCCCGTCCGGGCTCAGGCCCAAATCGGAACCGGTCCATCCCTACTTATAACTACTCTGTTAAACAGACAATCCTTTTCATATCCCAAATATACAAAAAAATCAAGAAAACAAAATCAAGAAAACAAAACCAAGACAACAACACATACTCAAGTCTTCGACCTCTGGACCTTGTTCATCGTCCTCCCTCGACCTAGCATCTAGTTCGCCGGAAACCGGCGTACAAGTATCATCTTTACCTTCATCACATAGCTCTCCAAAAATCATGTTATCCAAGAGTAAGCCATCAACAACCATTCTTGATGTACACACTTTTGTACACACCTTATACACACCATGTTTGTGAAGCTTTTTTTTGTCTGTGAATCCGGTTCACAGACAATATTTTGTTTGTGCAAAACATTGTCTGTGAATCGATGTTCACAGACAAAAAAAAAGCTTTCACAGACATAGGTGTGTACAAAAGTGTGTATAAGAGTGTGTACAAACATCATTTTTGATTTTTGGAGGAGGTAAATGATGGTAAAAATATGGGACTTTTATATGGGGTGCCAAAGGTGTACACAAAGTGCAACCATTCTTGATGTACACACCCTTATACACACCTTATACACACCATGTTTGTGAAGTTTTTTTTTTGTCTGTGAATCCGGTTCAAAGACAATATTTTGTTTGTGCAAAATATTGTCTGTGAATCGATGTTCACAGACAAAAAAAAACTTTCACAGACATAGGTGTGTACAAAAGTGTGTATAAGAGTGTGTACAAACATCATTTTTGTAAAATTGTAGAGGACTTTGTCACAATTTTACGTTGACCAGAACTCATAATCATGCGGTACGACCCTTACCAGTCACCCACTGCCCCACAAATAGCCATAATTCAGCTCCCTGCTGACAGAGATTAATAATTTAATACGTATGAAATTGTATCATACAGCTCATTTGATGCGCTTTCCACTATTTTCTTTTATGAAATTGTATGTGCATGTTATTCGTAAGGAAAATTCTACGTTGCACTCCTAAATTTTGAGTGCACCGGTACACATCTTTTCTTATCCAGCCACATTTTAGTATTGTGCTACTAAATATGATTAACGACTTGTAATGATGATAGAGTTATTAGCCTAAATATGATGAATTGTTTCTTTAATAGGACTTTTATACCATATTTGTCCTTCCTAATATAAATAAGGTTTAAATATTTTTTAGTCTCTGCAAATATAGTATCCCTGCAAAATTATTTTTTTTGTTTTTCATTTCTAAAATGTATGTTAGTTTTTCTTTTAGTCTACCTAATGATGGAATTTAATACGTATTTTAAAAATGTGAGTAATTAGTTTTTATTTTTTTAACTATCATATTTTCCTCAAAAAATTTATAGGGATGATTTTTTTAGTAATATACTAAAAACCAAATAATGCATAATACAAGAATGAAAAACATAAAAAAAATATTTTGCAAGGACTTAAATCATATTTAAACCTATAAACAATTGCCCCCTAGTTCCCTATACCGGTGATCCGGATCCGCGGCGTCGGCATCAGTGTAGGCCAAATCTTTAGCGGTAGAGGCCGGATCTTTAGCGCTGACGGCCGACGTGGCCAGATCTGGTCAGATGTACGGTGGTGGTTCATGGCAAGATGTGCAATGTCGGTGGTCAGATCGGTGACGCCCAGATCTGACCAGATGTACGAAGACGGCGGCCAAATGTGTAGCGCCGGCTGCCAGCGGTCAACAGCGATGTTCGGCCGCATTAAGTTTTGTCAAGCTTCAAGGGGTACTTTTGTACTCCTGTTCAACTACAAATAATAATTCTTATTTTGAATACTTTTAAACTTTGCACATACTTTGACAATTAAATATTTATTTATTTCTATTTAAATAAATCTCCTTTGACGATTTTGTTCAGTTTAACCTTTTTTTCTAAGCCGGTGAAGGATCCAAATGCAAAAATGGCAAATTATTATGTTTAGTTAATGAGGATATTAGGTGGCATAAGATTAAGATATAATGGGATGAGTGATTAAAGAGGATGATGGGTGGTTAAAAAGGATGTGTACCAAAACACACCAAATTAAGGAGTGCACCCAGGGGCGGATCTACAGCTTCAATAGAGGGGGCAGCTGCCCCCAATAAATGGTCACTAATCTCTTGTAATCCATTGGGAATTATTCTAATCCATTTAACTGCCCCCAATTAAAAAAAAGTAAATGCCCCCATTAACCAGCCCAGGCACGTAGCCAATCCAAATAATTCATTAAATTCAATGCTCAAAATCCCATCTAAAATACGGAGTACTTTTCACTTTTTAAGCATTTTTAGTAGGGACGTTTAAATCCCAAAACCAGAACTAAAGGTGTTTTTATTTAGACTGTTTTCAGTCCAAGATCAAACTTTAACAGATCAGATCATATGAGACTTAAACAAACTAGACCAGATCAGACTTAAACAGACCAAACCAGACTTGGCTTTCGTAATTATAAAAATACACGGAGACCAGACTAGGCCAGACCAGTTCAGACCAGACAAGACGAGACCAGACTTAAACAGACCAGACTAGACAAGCAAACTACAGTCCTAATAAAAACATCATAAATAGTATGCAAACTGGATTGTTGGACTCGGCGGGTGGCTCGATTGAAGCAAACTGGATGATTTTTTGATCGGAAATTTGAATAAAATCTCACATTGAAACATTTATGTATAGTTAAGGCACCGTTTCGATTCATTTAAGAGTTAAGATACCAAAATGCAACATTACCAATAGTTAAGATACCATTTGTGCATTTGACCCATTTGAGAGCTAGACAACTGCGGTGAGAGACCGGAAGTGCTCCTAGAAGAGGCAAAAGACAAATAGCGTTGGGAAAATCGAAAACTCTTGCTCTTCAGCGTTGCAAAATCGAAATTTTTTGCTCTATTGAGTATTAACTCTTTGACTATTCTATACGGAGTATTTTGTATAATTTGTATATGTTGTTTAAGCCAAAAGTGTAGATTTAATCATCGAGCCTTCTAGCATTTTTAGGGGTAAACAAATAATAAAATTTATCCTAATGAATGAAAATGTTAGTTAAAACCATTGTTCTAAGACTTTCTAAGCGCTTTTAGGTGATTGAGGGACGCTTAGCGTCTAGGCGGTTGACTAGGTCGATTTTTTAGGTGATTAGCTCGATTAGTCCTCTAAAGTTAAGGTAACAGAAGATTTACGATGTACGTATAAAAAATTAATTATACTTTTTAATAAAATTCATGGGCAGATTTTTAAATAAAACATCCGACTCGATCAGCACCGGCCTTAACACCGGTGACCAGTTTTTTTGAAATAGTTTATTTATAGAGATATAAATATTCGAAAACACCAGTTGAAGGATTTAACTTTTGTATTTTTTGCCCCCAATAGTCTTGTATCCTGGATCCGCCACTGAGTGCACCGTAGAAGCACCCTATTCATAAAGACATAAAGGGTAAAGTATCTCCATAAAATTTCAGCTTTTAATTCAATAAGGAAGTTAATTAAATTAATTATTGAAACATACAACGTTTATGTATATATATAAAACACAATACAACAACAACATCCAAGCCTTAGTCCCAAAAGATATTGGGGTCGGCTAACATGAATCGATACATGATATCACAACCAAAAGGAAAAGAAGGAATAAAGATAAAAAACAAGCTATTATAAAAAGATAATATAAAAAGAGATGAATATACATAAATATGATAAAATAAAAAGGCTACAAATAATGCTTATATATATACGAAGTATAAGGATAAAAAACAAGGAAAAAAAGATAAGGGGAAAAGATTATCAAGATCACTTCTTCACGCGAATACCCGTCCTATACTTAGTTCTCTCCAAAGTCATGCCCTCATCCAACCCCAGAAGAAGCATATCACTTCGAACCTTTAAATATAAAACACAATATCTTTCAATAATTTATTTAACCAATTTCCCAATTAAGTTTTAATTTGAAATTTTGTGAGCATAAACTAGATCAGCACTCTCTTACTTAATAATCGCACTTGAAAAATATACTGTATCAATTATGTAATTCCCATCGAGCAAGCTATACTGCTTCAAATTATGATGGTAGAAATAGAAGTAGTCAGGGAATCTAACATTTGGAATTTGAATGTTTGAAATTAGTTCAAAATATCACTAATGGTATGTAGAGAAAAAACAGAGTTAATCGATGTTGGAACCGTTGCATCTATCCAAAAGAAATTATTTATACTACTCTTGAATGCTACATGCAAGCTAGCCTGTAATGGGGTAATAATAAAATGTAAAGTTAAAATTACTTTTCTTATTGTGCTGGCTAAAGTTACTATAGAGGATCATTTTAATTGTTTTTTCATATAACTTTTTCTTTATTTTATTAATAAAATATTTAAATATAATTTTTTCATAAATCAATAAAATCAACCAATTCAGTCACATCAGCTAGAACTTCATAAATTTCAACCGTCAATACAAACCATTTATTAGATACTCCCTTCGTCCCATAAAATAAGTCTCATTTCAATTCGGATCGGAGTTTAAGAAAGTGGGAATAAAGTGGAAATGTATGGTTGTGGTTGAGTAAGAAAAAGGTAAATGAATGTTAACCACACAAAATTTTCCAAAAAGTAAAATGGGAACAATTTTTTGGGACGGCCCAAAAAGGAAAATGAGACTTATTTTATCATTTTATGGGACAGAGGGAGTATGTTGGAAATCAAATTCATGACCGGTTGCTTGGTCATGAGGTCTCCCCATCACCGAACATGTCGCAGCCTCATGGGCCACAGTAATCTTTACAACAATCATTTTTATTGATTGATTGGAGTGTCACTGAATCAAAACCAAACACTTCAATCCTTTCAAACAAGTAATCGACATAATCACACACGTTAGTCTGATGTTAACTTAGAAAAGGACAATATAGACTGCAAACACATTAATTACAAGTTCTGAATCCATCAAAAAATTGTAATGTTCAAGAAATCTTACACCGGAATATTATTTCTGTTGGAAGATGAAGGGGAATAAACCAGTCACTGCCCTTGTCACGAAACGAAAAAATGTACATGCTAAATTTGTTAGTTAATTCACATATAGTTCATCCTAACGTATTATACATGTATTATACGCAAGGTTTTTTTTCTCCAAAAATTCACTAAAATACTTGTTTTCTTGGAAGTTGGGATATATGATATCATGCACTTTCCTTGTGTCTTAAATGATTTTTATATGTTTAAAAAAATCAGAACAAAGTGTTTTTTTACAATGATATTCTTGGGAAACAGACACTAACACCAGCTATTTAGGGAGAGATGAAGAGGACATTGGTTACATGAGTATAATAGGGTGTGGACTTCATATACCCCACTTGAGCAAAAGAAGGCACACTCTCACTTGAACTCTCAACCCAACCATCTGAATAGAGCAGACAACAATGACTTCTTCCCCAAATTCTTTTCTTGGTGAGTTGTAACTTCTTAAATATTATCATGTTTTGAAGCTACATAATGTTGATTGTTGACTGTCACATTTAAAGTTTAAGCTATCACAATAATTTGATAAAACTGTAAATTTTATGAGTTGCAGAACCATTAGACTACTAATCAATCATGCTGGTTCATTAACTAATTGGGAAAAGGAAAATCTGCTTACTGGAATTGCAGGGGCATTTTCTGGGATCTGTGGAGGAGAACTTGATTGGAGTTCAGTGTGCATCCACGCAGCTTTGGTTGATGCATCAACTCTATTCTTGGCCTTTCTGTACTCTCTGTTCTTCCTTGGATGTCCTACAATGAGGGGGGTTGACATTATTAGAGGATTCAGAAGATCCTCTTTCATCTTTGTGGTATCCCTATGTTGTGCCCTTACAAGCATATGGTATCTCTGTGCTACTCTTCGCGAACTCATCACCAAAGATTCAACCTTTGATTCTCTTAACTGGTTGGCATATTTCATAAAAGGAGTCATTTGGATTGCCTTTACCTTCTCATTGCTTGTTCAAGGATCCAAAGCAGTCAAAGTGTTCATATCCAGTTGGTGGGTGGTTTCATTTCTGATGATTTCTTCTCTAAACATTGAAGTTCTAGTCACAAACCACACCATCAAAATTATCGATGTCATCACTTGGACATTAACCTTCTTGCTCCTCCTTTCTGCTTTGACAAACTTCCACCGTCTAACCCTTTCTCAGCCTGTTTCTGTCAAGGATTCATCTGAACCTCTGTTAGCTGATGAGCAATCTGATGGTGGGAGTCATGGTATTAGTTTCTTTAGCAAACTGTCTTTTTCTTGGATGAACCCTTTGCTCAGGTTAGGTAAGTCAAAAACATTATTTCTCGAAGACATCCCTTGTCTAAATTCAGAAGATGAAGCAAAGCTAAATTTCCAGAAACTGTCTCATGAGTTGGAAAAGAGAAACTCGAGTCTTCCTAAAGCTATAGCAAGCATATACAGAAAAGAAATGGTTATTGGGGGTGTATATGCACTTCTTAGGTCATCTGCCGTTGTAGTTTCTCCACTCCTGCTTTATGCATTTGTGGTGTATTCAAGTCTTGAAATCAAAGATTTTTCAAAAGCTATTCTTTTAGTTGGGTTCTTGATTCTTGACAAGGTTCTTGACTCTCTGTCCGGCCGGCAATTCTATTTCTACTCCAAGAGGGTTGGAATGAGAATAAGATCAGCTTTAATGGCAGCAGTGTATCAGAAACAGCTCAAGCTTTCAAACAAAGGCAGACAAAGACACTCAACAGGGGAGGTTGTAAATTACATTGCCATTGACGCGTATCGGATGGGGGAATCTGTAATGTGGTTCCACGTAGGATGGATTTCGGTTGTCCAAATCTTCCTTTCGGTCGGAGTTCTCTTTTGGGTGGTTGGTCTTGGTTCCCTTCTCGGTTTAGCCCCTCTAACTATTTGTGGACTTCTTAATGTCCCATATGCGAAGATAATCCAGAAGTGTCAGTCTGAATTCATGGTTGCCCAAGACAAGAGACTAAGGTGCATGTCTGAGATCCTAAACAGCATGAAGATCATCAAGCTACAATCTTGGGAAGAAAACTTCAAGACCATGGTCGAATCCTATAGAAATATCGAATTCAAATGGCTGTCTAAAGCTCAATATTGCAAGACAATAAGTACTTTATTATACTGGACATCTCCGACAATCATATCCTCCGTTATATTCTTAGGGTGTGTCTTACTTAAGAGTGCTGCTTTTGATGCTGCCACAGTGTTCACCATCTTAGCGGTGTTAAGGGTCATGTCCGAGCCCGTCAGGTACTTGCCGGAAGCTCTTTCTGTAATAATTCAAGCTAAAGTCTCCCTTGATAGGATAAATTCTTTCCTGTTAGAAGATGAGATTAAAAGAGTGGATGTTATGGGATATTCTCCGGTTGGATGTTCAGAGAACAGTGTAAGTGTGGCGAATGGCTGCTTCAGTTGGGAATCAGAGCATTTGCTTACAAACATTAATGTTGAAGTGAGAAGGGGTCAGAAAATTGCAATCTGTGGAGCTGTTGGGGCAGGAAAGTCATCACTTCTCTATGCTATACTTGGAGAAATACCTAAAGTTTCAGGAACTGTGAGTAATGCACACAAGTTAACGTAGAACCTGTTTGGTAACCGTATTTGGGTTACTTTACTCCATTTGATCATGAGCAGGATAATCCTTTTGAACAGAACAAGTACCTTTTGACTTCCTTAATGGGGCTAGATGAATTTTACCAGATGTTTTTCCTTTCAGAAAATTTAGTAAATCCAGCCAAATAATATTACCAAACCAGCTCATAGTTCGACTATTTTATGGGATATGACACTTGTATGGCTTGTTTGATACAATGCAGAAAGTATTCCCTTTTGTCACTAATCCCAAAGAGAATTTTCTCCCATGTTTGGTGCATGTCTTAATTTCCTTTCTGGAGATTCATTTTGATGAACTTTTATAATTATCATTCCTCATTTTCTCTGTTCCGCAGTCTACCAATGAACCCAATAAATAATCCCAGCACTATCATCCCTGCCTACCAAACAAATTTAACATCATCTCCTATTCGTTTCCCATAAAACATAAAAATCCAAAAATCCACTCCCACTATGTTCCTTCCTGCAATGGAATTTAACATCATCTCCTATTCATTTACCACACAAGCTGTTAGTTCCATCGTAAAAATAACCCTCTAAACTATTGATTCTTTTATGATTTATGGGAGGTAATATAGACATTCTATATTTCCGAAATGCACCGTAAACCTCATAATGCTAAACGGTGATTGTAATTGAAGGGAAAATTTAACTCAATTATAACAACTAAATTTACAAAAAACTGGTACCAAAAGTGCTATTTTCCCTGGTTTATTTTGATGTTGCAGATATTTTGGTGATTCCATTGACTTTTGTTGTTGCTTGAAACTAAATTCAGGTGAAAGTGTTTGGTTCCATTGCTTATGTGTCTCAAGCTTCCTGGATCCAAAGCGGGACGGTCCGCGATAACATACTATTTGGGAAGCCAATGGACAAAAGCAGATATGATGAGGCAATAAGAGTATGTGCTCTAGACAAAGATATTGATAGCTTCGGGTATGGTGACTTGACAGAGATAGGGCAGAGAGGAGTGAATATGAGTGGGGGACAGAAACAGAGAATTCAATTGGCTCGAGCAGTTTACAGTGATGCAGACATTTATCTTCTAGATGACCCTTTCAGTGCTGTTGATGCACACACTGCTTCATCTCTTTTCTATGTAAGAAGTCTAACTCAGATAAACATATATACATCGGTTCTAGATAAATTGCACTAAGAATTCTAATGTGACTGCAGGGATGTGTTATAGATGCATTGAAGACGAAAACTGTCATTATTGTTACTCACCAAGTGGAATTTCTTTCTTCTGTTGACCACATTCTGGTAATTATTAAGCCTGGTTGTAGATTCCATGTCTACCTTTTCCCTGCTCAGGCCACACATAATTCCACTTAATCCCCGCCTACAACAATTAGCTTTAAATTATATTAGAGAGACACATAGGTTCATAAGGCATTATGTAAGTCTAGCTACTCGATTGGATTCAATCTTTTAGTGTGTTTCATCTTATAAAGTCAATCATCGTAGGAGGAGGAGTTCAGAGCTTCATAAGAGAGCTTGTACTGTCAAATTTAGCCGATGAGGGATGACTTAAGTCACTTAACACGTCCCACATGATAGTGGCTCAATGGAGCAGGCTAATATTGAAATATGTTTGCAGTGTGCTCTAGTTGAAACTAAGCCGGACCAAGCGTTCCTTTGTACATAAATAGGCTCTAACATCATTTTAAGATTTGGAATTCTACCTTAAAAGGTAAAACTGATAAAGAGGAGTAGTCTAACTATTTGGCTGTTGTGAGAAGGTTTAACAAGTTTTAATGACACAATTGAGTGACCTTTCAACCTTATCCTCAACTCTTTCAAAAGTGATGTGGTGTTTTAATTTTCCTAGGTACTACAAGGAGGAAAAGTCACTCAATCAGGAAGCTATAACGAGCTCTTGATGAGGGGGATGGCATTTGAACAGCTTGTGAGTGCTCACAAAAATGCAGTAAATGCTTTCAATCCACTGACAAACAATAATGAGCATATTAATGGCATGGAGCTTGAAGACGTCAGGGTGTCTTATGTAAATGAAGAGAATGGACCTACTCCAATGAAGGAAGGGGCACCACAGCTAACAGAAGATGAAGAAAAGGAGACGAATGAAGCAATGTGGAAGATATTCAAGGATTATGTTTTGGTCTCAAAAGGATCCCTTTACCTGATACTAAACATTGTGGGTCAAACCGGTTTTGTGGTTTTTCAGGCTGCAGCAAGCTATTGGCTAGCACTTGCTCTTCAAAACCCAAACATTAGTCCTCTTATGATCATTGGAGTTTTTACTTTGATTTCACTGCTGAGTACACTCTTTGTATCTCTTAGATCCTTATTCGCAGCTCTCCTTGGACTCAAAGCTTCAAAAGCCTTTTTCTCTGGTTTCTTAGACTCCATCTTCAGGGCTCCCATGCTTTTCTTTGACTCTACTCCAGTTGGACGGATTTTAACCCGAGTAAGATGAAGGCATCATATACATTCCGGACTAGTTATTTGCTATCATAATGATTTTCCATACTTTCATCCCCTTTCAGGCTTCTTCAGACCAGAGTATATTAGACTTTGACATCCCTTTCACTTATAATTATGTGACGGCTGCTGGGATAGAATTAATTGCAACAATTGGTATTATGGCCTCTGTCACATGGGAAGTACTCATTGTAGGCATCATTTCCACCTTTGCCTCCAAATATGTCCAGGTCAGATATCATCTCTTAACAAAGTTGCCACAAATTGAGGCCTAACTCCAAGTAATATTAGGTTGGGCTGATTAAAAAAACACAAACATATAATACCTTGGAGTACTCATCCTACCATGTTGTGACATATTAGTATACAACACCAAACAGGTGTGTGGAAAAGAGGGAATAGAATGCATGCGTGAAAAGAGAAGAGTGGAAATAGTATCCATGCTTAAGTGGAAAGAAATAGGAAGGAAATGAAGGGTAAAGTCTATGATGTTAAAACCGGACCAAAAAGCAACCTGAACAAGTGACCGGGTCAGGGGTCAATCCAAACCCGGAGGTCAGCCCGGTCAACGCATGATGATCTCGGTCAATATTTGTTAAAAAATAAAATACAAAATATGTATAATAATAAATCAGATTAAAGTCATAAAGTGAAAAAATATTCTTATTTATGATTTAATAATGACAATACATAAAATAGTAATAATAATAATAATAGAAAAAATCTAAAATACACTCCATCAAGGTATAATAATGTGAAAAGAACTTAGTACAAGCATACCTAAGTGGTAGAGTTTGTTAGCACTGGTGCTTGTTCACGCTAGACGAGGGTCCAAATCCTCCCTTCAACGTGTTTTTTAATATCAATTGGGCGGGTTAGCGGGTCCACACCAGTTCCTGGGCCAGATTCGGGGCGCATTAACAGCAGGTCTACGGGTTTGGGTGATTTTTGAAAGATTAGCGGGTTAGTTGTAACCAGCTCGGTATTCCAAGCGGGTCACCGGATTCCAGGCCGACCCGTCCGGGCTGATTCGGGTCTGATAACACAGAGTAAAGTGGCTAAAGTGGCTATAAGTTGTAAGGATAATAAGTGATCTTATTATAGATAGCCTTTTAGTTTGCATAGAAAATCACTTTAATTCAAGAGAGTTCTGGAAATAGGACTAAAACATGACTCACTATTATCCAAAACATGACTCATTTACTCCAAAGAAGAATTGTTAATAACTCTAATTTTCAAGGACTAAATGAGTTCTATTTTTAGCACAAAACAATGATATTCCTGTTTGTGAACACAGACACATGTTTTACTCTTATTTGAAAGTAATTTCTTCGAATCTACAATTCTTGCATCTTGGTTTGTCTTCAACCAAAACAACTTTTATTTCTTTCAGCTGCTACTCAACTTCTCTAGTTCTCTTCTCTGTTTTCTCACCTAAGCATTTCTCCGTTAATCAAACACAGCCCATGTCTTAAAGTATAATCTCTCTCTCAACTTATGAAAATGGTGTCATTTGTAACGATGTGTTTGTTTGGATGAAGGAATACTATCAACCCTCTGCAAGGGAACTGATGCGGATCAACGGGACAACAAAGGCTCCATTAACGAGTTATGCAACCGAGACATCTCTTGGAGTTGCCACAATAAGGGCTTTTGATATGGGAGACAGGTTTTTTCACAACTACTTGGGACTAGTTGATGCAGATGCAAAAGTTTTTTTCCACTCAAATGGAGCCATGGAGTGGCTAGTTTTGAGAACGGAGACACTACAAAATCTCACACTTTTCATTGCTGCTTTTCTCCTAATCGCACTTCCATCAAGTTTTCTCCCTTCAGGTATTATTGTAAGGGTTCGTTTGGATTTTGAAACCGAAAAATACTAGAGATAGATTATATGAGAGAAAACATGAAATAAAATTGGAAGGAAATACAATGTGAGGCAAAATCCTCGAGATGCTATAAACAAAGAAACTTATTCTAGGTAGATACTATGTATTGGTAATAATTTTATTTATTTATGTCTACTGTACTAGGACTAAGAATTGAACATTTTAACTAATGTAAATTTAAATTAAAAATCCTATATGATTTTTATTTTCACTTCCTTTTCCATCATCTCCAATTGAGCCAAAGACTCGCTATTTTTTGGCTTGAGAATATGATGGAATAAAGCAAAATGACTCACTAAACTGTCTGGGCTTCTTTGTTATGAAGCAGCAGTCAATCTATACAATTTTCGACGCGTTTTTCCACCATGGGTCATCCGGAAACAGATTGCGCTTTAGTAGAGGGGTAAAGCTGCGTACATCCGACCCCCCCTTACCCCACCATAGGTGGGAGCCTTTGCGGCACTGGGGTAATGATGGTGAAGTTTTCTGAATATTATTTCCTTGAATTCATTTACAAGAAGTACATAAGCTATTTATACAGATAGGAATCCTGAGAGAGTCTATTCAGCACCCTAGGTGACTGTCTAAATACTAAACATAAATGATTGAGAACTGAAAAGACAGCAGCTATTAAATACAACCTGAAGCACTAAAGACACATAATTACAGTAATGATAAGGAAAATACATCCTAGATTAATGATGTCTCTTCGTTTTATCAACACTCCCCCTCAAGCTAGGTTTGTAGATATCCGTCATGCCTAGCTTGACAATAAGACCCTGGAACCTAGGACTGTGAAGAGGTTTGGTAAACACATCTGCAACTTGATCTTCTGAGGGAGTGTAGCTTAGTTCGATCAGACCTCCTTCAACCTTTTCTTTGATAAAGTGCCTATCAATCTCAATATGCTTGGTCCGATCATGTTGGACTGGATTATGAGCTATGTTGATTGCTGATTTGTTATCACACCTCAATTCCATTGGTCCTTTCCACTTGATTCGTAAATCTAAGAGAATAATTTTGATCCATAGAAGTTCACATAAGCCATGGGCAAGAGCTCTTAGCTCAGATTCAGCAGATGATCGTGCCACAACATTCTGTTTTTTGCTTCTCCATGTCACGAGGTTTCCTGCTAGGAAAACACAGAGACCAGTAGTTGACCGACGGTCAACGAGGGAGACACCATAATCTGCATCAGTGAAGGCTTGGACTGATAATTGCCCACCCTTCCTGAATATTATCCCTTGCCCTGGACTTCCTTTTAGGTAGTGAAGAACCCTATAGGCTGCTTCTAGATGTGGTTTCCTTGGATCATGCATGAACTGACTCAAAACACTAACTACATAGGCAATGTCAGGTCTAGTATGAGAGAGATAGATAAGTTTGCCACACAAGCGCTGATACATTGATGAATCAACCTTGGGTTCATCAGTAGCAAGTCCAAGCTTATGATTAGGATCCATAGGTGCATTAACCGGTCGACAAGCACTCTTACCAGTCTCATTTAACAAATCTGTAATGTATTTTTGTTGGCTGATAAAGATGCCTTCAGATGAGCGAGCAACTTCAATTCCAAGAAAGTATTTTAGAGGGCCAAGAGACTTCATCTCGAATTTGGATTTCAGTTGCCCCTCAAGACGTTGTTTCTCAACTGGATCATTACCCGTCACAATGATGTCATCCACATATACTAAAAGAATAGTGATTCCATTTGGGCGAGAGTGTTTGTAAAAAAGAGTATGATCCCCTTGGCTTTGACTATACCCAGCAGCAAGAACAACTTGTGTGAAACAGTCAAACCAAGCACGAGGGGATTGCTTGAGACCATAGAGGGCTTTTCTTAAATGACATACATGTGTAGAGGTTCTTGTTGATGTTTTATTAAAGCCTGGGGGAATGTACATGTAGATCTCATCATGCAAGTCACCGTGGAGAAAAGCATTCTTGACATCAAATTGCAATAAAGGCCAATCAAAGTGAGATGCCAAGGATAGTAGGATACGGACAGTATTGAGCTTAGCTACAGGAGCAAAGGTCTCTTGATAGTCAATCCCATACGTCTGAGTGTATCCTTTAGCCACAAGACGAGCTTTGTACCGCTCAAGAGATCCATCAGCCTTGTATTTGACAGTAAAGATCCACCTGCAACCAACAACATGCCTCCCAGGAGGTTTAGTCACAATATCCCAAGTATGGTTCTTTTCAAGAGCTCTAATTTCCTCTTGCATAGCATCCCTCCATTCTTTCTTTCCTAATGCCTCAGAAACAGAGTTGGGTATGGGAATTTCATTAAGTCTCTGAACAAACAAAGCATGTGAAGGAGAGAAGTTATCAATGGTAACAAAATTAGCAAGAGGGTATAGAGGTGTTTTGGTACATTGACGTACACCCTTGCGTAAAGCAATTGGCGGAGATGGTGGTGGAGAAGAAGAGACATTACCTGGGTCAGCCAATTGGTCATGCGTCAACAATGGAGTGAACCTGTTTTTCCTTGAGTACACTTTTGTCACTGGTAGAGGAGAAGATGGGTCATGAGTGGTGGATTTAGTAGGTGTAGGAATGGGATGGTCTGGTGGTGTATTTGATTGAGGTTCAGGTGATGTTGAAGACTGTTGGGAAGTAGGTGAGGTTGCTGACACATCTAAGGAAGGTGATGGATGATCATGTGGTGGTGGTGGTGGTGATGGGATGTCTGGTGATAAAGGCTTAGGAGGGTAGGAGATTGTATGTGGTGGAGAAGATGTAATAGTATAGGTGTGCAGAGGTGAAGGATGTGGAGTATCTTGGGATACAGGGAGAGAAGTAGGAGTGTAAAAAGGTGTGTCTTCGTGAAAGGTCACATCTGCACTGGTGTATGTCTTTCTGGTTGTAGGATTATAGCACTTATATCCTTTCTGAGTTGGAGAATAACCAAGAAAGATACACTTAATAGATCGTGGGTCCAATTTTCCCCTTTGAGGTGGAGGAATATGAACAAATGCAGTACACTCAAACACCCTTAGATCAAGATCAGAAGAAATTCTGGTTTGAGGAAAGAAGTGACGGAGAGATTCAAGGGGTGACTTATTTTGGAGTACCCGACTGGGAATTTTATTGATGAGATGACATGCTGTGAGTGTGGCTTCCCCCCAATAGTGTTTAGGCATATTTGATTGAAACAATAAAGCTCGTTTGACGTCTAAGAGATGGCGATTTTTTCTTTCTGCTGTGCCATTCTGTTGTGGTGTGTACGGACAAGAGGACTCATGAACAATGCCTTTTGAGAGGAAATAAGAGGAAACAGTTTGATTGAAGTATTCAAGAGCATTATCAGTGCGGAAGCGTTTTATTGTGGCGGAGAACTGATTATGAATCATATTGCAAAAGATAGGAATGATGGAACTCACCTCACTCTTGTTTTTTAGCAGAAAAACCCACATAAAACGTGTACAATCATCAATAAATGTAACATACCACCGGACACCAGATATATTAGCAATTGGAGCAGGACCCCAGACATCACTATGTATAAAATCAAAAGGAGAACAACTGATTGTATTACTTCTAGAAAAAGATACACGAGACTGTTTAGCAAGTTCACAGACATCACATTGAAATGTAGAAACATCAATACTACTAAAAAGACTAGGAAACATGGTTTTTAGGACATGAAAAGAGGGATGACCAAGACGCTTGTGGTGAAGCCAAATAGTGTTGGTATTGGCTGTGATTGTGGTAAGAGCTTTTTGTGGAGGTTTGGAAACAAACAGTGCATCAAGGTAGTACAGGCCATCTCTTTGTTTAGCAATTCCAATCGTCCTCCCCGTGTGTAGATCCTGTAATAAACAGTGGGAAGGGAAAAAAATGGCAGCACAATTAAGATCAACTGTGAGTTTGTAAATAGAAACAAGGTTCATAGCCAGGTTTGGGACATGTAGGGTGTTTTTCAGATTTAATTTTTCAGAAAAAACAACCGTACCAAGTCCCGCAACCTTTGTAGGTGTCCCATCAGCGGTAGTAATGTGTGTGGATGTAAAACATGGATGATAATTAGAGAGTAAAGAGGGTATGGCAGTCATATGAGATGTGGCACCTGAGTCTAATATCCATTGGGATTGTGAACTCTGTTCCGAAGCATTAAGACAAAAAATAGTAGAGGTTTTACCTTGCAGGGCCAAAGAGCTATGACCAGAACCATTTGAGTTATTAAGAGACTGTAACATCATACGAATTTGCTTTAATTCCTCCCGGGAAATGGGCCAAAGATTAGTAGAGCTCTCAACAATAGTCGGAGTGACTGAGTTGGCACGTCCAGCACTAGTTCCACGTCTGTCCTGGCTTTTTCTTTCTGTAGATGAGGATAAAGTTTCCAGCATGTATCCACATTATGGTTGGACCGCTTGCAATGATCACACCATCTTCCTCCCTTACTACCCTTAGTTTCCTTAACATCTGAAGGAGTAGATTTGGCAGCAAGAGCTGTACTGTCAATCAGATTTGTATTCATCATTATATTGCGTCTGCTCTCTTCATGTTTGATAGTGACAATGGCAGAAGATATGGAAGGCAGAGGAGTAATGCCAAGAATTTGACCCCGAGTCTGATCATATTCGGGATTTAAACCAGACAAGAAGCAATATAGACGTTGCTGATTTATATAGTTCTTGTGAAGAGTTGCATCTGCAGCATTCGACCACTTCATCGTTTGATACTGGTCAAGTTCAGACCATCGTCGTTGGAGGTCAGTTGCATAATCTGTGATAGATTGTGAATCTTGCTTAAGATTTGTAAACTGAGTAATAAGAATTAAAGATGCAATGAAATCACTCTTCATTATCATTAGGTATGGCCAGTATAAATACATACAAGCTAGGGAATACAAAAAGGAAACTAAATCTGTCAGATTTACCTAGAATATTTAATCTATCGCAGAGAATATATTAGCTACCATATATATACATAGAATAT